CCCTTGGGAAAATCACTTAATCTCTCTGTGCCTCAGCCTCCTCATCTGTAAAATGAGGCCAGTAACAGTGTCTAACTCAGGACTGCAGCAAAGATTGAACAAGTGAATACACATAAAGTACTTAGAACAATGCTACGTTAGGTAATATATGTGTACAGGAAGGAGGCAAGAGTGGATGTTTAAGCATTCTTTCGTCTATGCAGAGACAAGTTTCAACATACCTTCCCACTGAAGGGGAAGTTGGGGTAATAAAAATTGTCAGTGTCTTCAAAGGTCATTGATCCCATTTGTGAAGAAATGTAGATATCCTGAGTAGTATTGGCCTCCACTCCTGTAGGGGAAACCAGATGTATGACAAATTAAATCCCTGACACCCTCATTTTCACATTTAACATAAAATCCGTGAAACGATGACGCCACTGGAAGTATAAAGCTGAACATATTTCTGGCCAAAGATCCAAATTAACTCTTCCTCCCCAAACTTCTGGGGAAATAGGGAGTGGATGGCAGGTTGGAATCTGGCATTTCCCTTTGACTGTGAATAGGAACAAATTCTCTTCCAGACACTGATGAGGGTGGGTCTTGAGGTCCCTGAGTAGGTCTGTTCCTGGAACGGTGCTTTTCCTTTCTCTCTTCTTAATGAACCAAGGAGCAGCCCACATACCTGTCCCTTCCTCCACCACAGTGGCCACAATATTGATGTTGTTGCTGTAAAAATACCCAGTAAGGTTGAAGGTGGACATGTCCACGGAAGATGAGAAGCATCCTGCTTTGTCAGTCTAGTGAAGCAACCAGAGAGAGAGAGAGAGGATGAATAACTTAATCTCTGCATCCATTTCATGATGTCCTGTAGAAGGAAATAATTTCTTATCTCTGTACTTTAGTTTTTCCCTCTTTAAGATAGAAAAACTATCGCATAACATAAGGTATACACCCACACATCGATAATCATGAAACAACCCCAAAGCTCCAAGATATGAGAAGGAGAAAAGAACCAAATGCAGAACAGGAAAATAGTATCTCCCAAGGGTTTAGATTAATTTCTTGATTCCAAGGCAGATTCTAAAAGACCTTATCTGTTTAGGATTGAAAAAAAAAAAAAGACTTTGGAACTGGGATAATAATCATGTGAATTGCTTTCTCCTTTGAGCTTTTTATTACTTTTCCTATATTGGTCTTATTTACTAACTCTTTAGGACATAGGAACAAGGTTCCTTTTCTACATCCCATTGACTCACCTGTCCAGAGACGTTCTTGCATCTGTCAGATAGCCGTTCCCATTCTGGCTCTCGAAACCCAAAATTATACGCCTTTTGACACACTGACACCTGCACTGCCCCTAACATGGGCTTTCCGTAGGTGTACCTAACCCAGAAAAGCAGGAGGAGTCAGAATTGCGCAATTCCACTTACGATCCAACCTTCCTCCCCCAAAACACCACTTTCCCTTCTTTCCCACATTCCCACCTCTGCAAGTGCTCTCCGATCACCCTACCCTTCTCCTGTGCTCATTCACCTCTCTGCTTTACCCAAAGCTTAGAGGACTGCAGTTACACAGTAAGTACCATCCAAAGGACAGAAATAGTGTCCGTCCTTCTTTTTCCTATTTCTTTATGAGACTCAATATTGTATTCTGCCCAAAGAAGACAGTAAATTAATAATGCTGACTGAGAGAGCAGTGGAAAGAAAGTAAGAACAGAAACACAATTAGAAAATGTGTTCCTGGAGAACTCATGACTCTGGACCACAGAAAACATCCCAAATATAACCTCTACTTCTATAATCCCTCTCCCCATAACACTGCCTCACCCCATCTCTCAATATAGTTTTAATCCTCACCAGACCAAGAACTTTATTCGTACCTACAACAAATTTTCACTGAGAAAGAGTCGTCCATCACTGATAACTGTTTGGGTTCCACCACTTCCACTTTAAATTTAGGCAGCACTGGAAAGAGCGGAAAGAGAAATGGAAAATGAGTGGGAAGAGGGCTTGACCATACAGGTAGTGAACAGAGGGGTGTGAAACAACGATCATTGTATTAATTAAATTAATTAAGGGAGCATTATTAAGGTAAAATGCCCCTGAAGTTATTTAGCACTAAATGAATAAATAATCCCTCTCTGTAGTAGATTTTACTTTACCTTTGCTGGTTTTGAGATAAGATTATGTGTAACTCTTGGACGTACTAATTCTCCCACCTACCATATTCTTCCACACTGAAGGTGCCAAAGGTATTGCCCTCGACCACTGCCACTGTGTAGGTGCCCAGCGTCGCCTCTGGTGCCAGCTGGAAGGACAGGTCTACAATGCCTTGCTTGGGCGCCACATTCAGCCACTGGGCAATTCTATTGCTGTTTGGATCCTGTGTCCAGTAAAAAGAAACCTTACGACGTGCCTGCCTCTTTGATTCCCACTCTGCACCACAGAAAGCAGGTAGGGAAGCAAAAAGCAGGTAAAGAAACCCACCCATTGTTCATGACCCCCACGGTCTGTGTCCAGGAAGAAAGGGATCCTTGTGGATTTGAATTATCAGGCTGAACCCTTTAACATGTTATCCAGCTTCAGAAAGTGGGCTTTAGGATGTCCTTTACAAAGAGTGTTTATTCTTGGTCCCTTAAGAGGGGCCACGCTGAGGGGACTGATTGCCACATACCTGAATGATAAAGAAATTCTACAGAAAAATGGAGAGGACGCTGTGGGGAATTCTTGCCTTCTCAGCACGTCTCACAGGTATTCTCATCACAGGCAATGGCTGAGTGTCTAAGACAGTAGCCATTACCAAGGACTAAGAGGACTAAGAGGACTTACTAGCCATTACAGAGTCAAGCCTCATTGGACTGACACAGCACAGAGAAGTTACAGGAATCAGAGCAGGAAAATTCATCACAGTAGAGATTGGTGTCCTTATCTACAGACGTTGAACACTGAGAGGAGGGGTGGGCAGAGGCAAGAGAACAGGACGGCTTAGGTGGAACTGTGGGGACTTGGTGCAAAGTCTCAGTCTCTGGGCCAAGATCTCAGAGTTGTTTCTGGCTTCAAGGTTTAGCACCAACCACGTTCTCCACAAATGTCAGAAAAGAACACGAAACTTCTACTTACTTGCAGTTCCACCATGGAGTACTGAAAAGGAAAACCAGACAACATGGGTCAAAGCAGAACTAGCATTAAGGATTAGCTTGCTGAAAGCAACAAGCTCACAAAGGGCTCTGCCTCTGTTGCCCATTTCTTCTTTCTAAATGGCTCTTTTGTGCCCTGGTAAGAGTAACAGTGGGGCAAAGGCTTGTTGGCTGGGGGAGGAGAAGAAGAGATTTCCTAAAGGGATTGCTAGTCTCCAGAAGATCTGAAGAAATGGGACGTCAGACCCTCCGCATCCCTCAGAGCTCTGTGATGGAGCTCTCTTCACAACAGGCCTAAAAGAAGGTGTTAGCATCTGAGGCTCCCCGGTGTTCAAACCTCTTCCTGGGGGCCAATTATCTCTCGGCCTCCTCCTCTGTTATTTGAATGCCAGTGGGCAGGAACCTCACTTTCAAACATTGCAAAAACAATTCCTTAAAAAAAAAAAATCTGTTCAAAAGAGCTCCACCAAAGAATCATGTATCATTTCCTCAAGCAAATGGATGTTAACACCATTAAGTTTAATTGAACTGGGTCATTACTAGGTATCAAAGTGTCACCCCCAAATTACTTGCTAATTTCAAAAAAGGGACACATCTTTTCCACTGGAAGAATTAGATTGTCACCACCTTAACCAAGTAATCAAATTTATTATCACTAATAATGGATCAACCTGATACTATGTGCCTCTTAAAGATCACAGCATTATGTATATTTTTTAACCAAGTGTTTTTTCCAAAAATGTTTAGCGTAAATCTAATTAAGACTTCAGAGCTACTTGCAGAAGATAAAGGAACAAGTTCTGTTACACAGTAAAGAAATAATCAGACAAATCAGGAATATCGAATATTCTCTAAGACAACAACTAGGCTTCCTCAAAGGTCAATATCATAAAGAATGGGGACATTCTACAAGTTATCTAGCCTGATCCCTCTATCTCCCTTTCTCTCTCTCTCTCTGTTTCTCAAAACAAGCAAACAAAAAATCAATCTAAATGAAAAAATAAAGGGGATTAGTTTAGATTAAGAGAAAAATTTTAAATGTTAACTATCAAATGTAATGCATGAATTTGATCAGATCCTAGTTTGAAAAAAAACTCAGTTATTTGGAAAACTTAGAACTGAATATTAAATGATACTAAATAACTATTGTTAATTTTCTTAGGTGTGATAATAATATGATTATTTAAGATAGTCTTTTTAATTCTTTGACATTGGTCTTAGTAATATTTTTTTGGAAATGTCTCCTCAGGTAAGGGAAACAAAAGCAAACCAATTAAAAATTGGGCAGAGGATCAGTTTGAAATGTATAGAAATATCAAATCATTATGTGATATAACAGGTTCTAACATAGCACTGCAGGTCAATTATAATTCAAAAACAAACTCATAGAAACAGATCAGATTTTTTTGTTGCTGAGTCAGGGGACGGGGGGACAGGGGATTGGATGAAGGCAGTCAAAAGGTACAAATTTCCAATCATAAGATAAATAAGTACTAGGGATGAAATGTACAACATGATAAATATAATTAACACTGCTGTATGTTATATAGGAAAGTTGTTAAGAGAGTAAATCCTGAGAGTTCTCATCACCAGGAAAATAACTGTTTTCTATTTCTTTAATTTTGTGTCTATATAAGATGATATCTGTTTGCTAAACTTATTGTGATAATCATTCCATGATGTACGTAAGTCAAATCATTATGTTGTACACCTTAAACGTACACAGTTCTGTATGTCCATTATATCTCAATAAAATAAGAAGAAAAAAAATTATCTCTGGCAATAGCTTTCTTTCTGGGCCAGCCCCATCTCCCACCCTGACCTGCAACTACATTCTTTTAGGCATTTAAGAAAGAGATAAAGGCAGGAGGGTAGAGTGCAATGGTAGAGAGTGCAGGCTTGGCATGCATGAGGTCCTGGATTAAAAAAAAAAAAAAAGAGGTATAAGTTTTTCCTAAGTCTGCTGGATCTTGATTGTCTTCAGCTCAAAATAATCTACCTGCCAAAGAGGCTTATTTTGGGGTGGCATATTCTGTCCCCCTTCAAGATTAAGGGAGGATAAAACTTGCACAAACTAGGCTATATACACAATAAAGTGGCAACTATCACTGAGATAACTGTGGATTGCTATAAATTCCAGAAAAAAAACCACTTCCTCGAATGACAAAAAACTTTTCTCACATAGGGAGTCAAGAAGCAGGTTTGGGCATCAGTCAGGCAGAAGTAGTCTCTGGAAGCAAGAAAGTGTTCAACCAGGAAAACAGCATTTCCAACTGGAAGCTGCCTGAGGTTTCTGAATAAATGGCTGTAGCAACCAGGCTAGAAAAAATCAGCTGATTTCATGGATACTTTGGTTGCTTGAAGATGAAATACCATGCTCCGTAAACTCACAATTTTTGCTCTTCCGTTTCTTAGTAAAAATTCTTTTAGTTAACTTCAGTGTTTCAAATTGGAGTTTCAAATTCAGTGTTTCAAATTTTTGGTGTTCCAAGTTGGAACTTGGAGCAGGGGTTGACTAAAGAAATGGTGTGGGGAGGAAGGAGTAATTTGACAACAGAAACAAGGCACAACTATGGAAATCAGAGCACCTCAGTAATAGGGCAGAATTTGAGCAGAGGAACAAATAACGCCACGGGGTAGCTGGTGAGATCAACCTCCAGGGGTCAGCAGAGTCTAAAATAACTCCGGCCGTGTCCACACTTGGAGCCTAACCTGAGTGCTCAATATTACACCGAGCTGATAAAGAAAGAATACAGGTGATATTGAAGGAGAAACTAAAAAGAATTCTAAATCAGGAAAGAAAATAGTGGTGAAGGAGAGCACCAATCAGTAATAAGCGTATGGCTTCCGTGCATATGGGGAAAGGAACAGCAGCTCTGAGGACATGGAGATGGAAACACAAACAACGCTTTCTCTATGATTATCTTTAAAATTTTCATTTGAATACATGAGCGGTTACTGAAGGAGAAAGAAGGCAGCCGGGGTGTCTGAGATGTATTTCAAAAGTACAGAGAAATGACACAAGCCCTTACAATTGTAAGGATCGAGTTGTTCCAGGATGTTTTAAGTGTTCACCAAATGTTACTGCATGTTTACCTTTGGCATGGAATGTTGCCTTAGGAGAATTGTCTACTCTATAAATTATATTACCTCGTAGTGAAAAAAGGTTGTGGGGGTGGATATTCTTATTTCTTCCTTTTGTTAAATACACTCCTGAATTATTTCTTAGTATTTGAACTGCAAAGCCACTAGGTGTCACTCCTGGAGAGAAATTCTTGAAGTTTGCAAAAAATTCTTTTAAAATACAGCAGCCCATGGAACCAGCACTCAGGAATGTTAACCTAATTGATGTTCTCAGCTATCAAACCTGAGAACTGGGCACCTTTGCTGGTTTTCAGGCTGACAGGTATGGGAGGAGTTGGACTTGTGCCCTGAGGCTAGAACTCGAATTCCCACAAGTGTTCCACATCTCAGAGGGAAGGAGGGAGATTCCCCCTCGGGAAGAAGCTCTTCTTCTCCCTGTTCTCTCTCAGTCTGCCCCACCCCTTTCCTTTTCCCGGTCCCCTTTCCTCACTGAATTCTCACCTGGTCATTCACTGGAACAAAGTTGCTGGTCAGGGTGACAATGCGGAAATGCACTAGAGGGAAACAGACATGATTAGCAAGGGGGATTTTTTTCCTCTCTCAGCATCTTTCTTTCTTCCACCCTTTCTGTTTCCTCATACATCCTTCTGAGTCAGCAGAAACCTGTCAGGTTTTCCTTCTTTAATAAAACCTAGTCTGAGAGAGAATTAAAGCCCCGGTTTTCCTTCATGGCTCCTGACTTTGGAACCTCAGAATGGAATCCCCTTCTAAGGAAGAAGGAAAAAATACAAATGACAGGAGCTCGGGCCAAATGCCCTTGATGCTTTCTGATCTGAACACAGGCAGCTTGCTGTGAGACTCAGTGATCCAGTTACACCTGCCAAATTCCACTCCAGGAGAAATGTGTATCCTCTTTTAGATACACACACAGCGGCAACTCCACCCACTGCTCTTTCGCTTTGTGTAGCACTGCGTGTATTCAACACTCATAACACTTTATCCCCCTAGACCTTCCTCTCTTCCGTGGTCCACAGACCTACCGGCAACCCACAAAGCCCCTCTACAGATGTGTGCAGCTGGTTCCCAGGCTTCCGTCTCACCCCATCTGCGTGTCTCTTACCTTGCTGCCCTGGGTTGTAGACAGGTTTGTCAGTTTGTATAAAGATGCCATTCTGCTGCCTCTGAATTAGAACCTTTTTCTTCTCCTCAAAGCTGATGTTTTTTCCAGTTCCTGACACCCGGACTGTGGCCACTTCTTCTCTGCCACCAGCAGGAGGTGGTACCTGGCCAAGACAGGGGAGCTCTGGCAAGAAGTAGGGGACTAGGGGGAAAGAGTCAACTGGTCTCAGCCCAACAGGGAGAGTAAAAGGAAAGAAATGAGTTAAATGGGGGTAGCAAGGGTAGAGCCATTAAGTCAGAAGTTACGGCCAGGAACTGAAGTTTAGGAGAAATAAGGTTTAAAGGCCATGGCAAAAGTAAGATAACAGATAAGATAACTAAAGAGAGATTGTAAGTCAGTAACCAGGGACAAGAACAGGGAAGTTGGGGACTAGAGTTGGGCTAACCCTGTGCTTACCAAAAAGGACACGCAACGTAAGTGTCTCGTCTTCAGTCCAGATTGTTCTAGCAATGTGTGGGTCTTGTCCTTGGCCTCCAGAGTAATAGTGAATTTTACATCACTGTACCCAGGGCTCAGATCCAAACAAACCTTCTCAGAAGAGGGAAACTTGAGCTGGGCTGGTAATGTCACCAGGTAGTTTCTATTAAAGAAGCAAAAGGATTTCAGGGCAATAATGATTTACCTATTCAATGAAAAATTCACTCCTCCCCTAAGCACTCAGCACACAGGCGTGAATTAAACAGACCGAGCCCCTGTCTTTATGAAACTTATTTTCTACAAGGGAGAAGCAGACAAGGAACAAATAACACAGTGTACAGCCTTGAACTTCCCACCATTAGGAGGCCATCACTGAGAACCTAGGTCTAGGGTGCCAAGGAGGAAATTAGCTCTATTACGGAGAACAGGGCACAAGGATTCTATCATATTCTAACATTACCTTTTTTTTAAAAAAAAAAAAAAAGCTTTTTCTTTGTGCCTTAGCTTTTCTTCCTGGGTAAAGGAGAAATGAAATCAAAGAAGGGAAAAGAGGAGAAGGTGGTTCTGTTTGAGACAGACAGAGGAGGAAGCTGCCTGCCCTATTATCAGCTTTGACACAAGCACTTACGGGAGGAGTTTCTCTGCGATGGCTGGCATTAGGGCCAGTATTCCTAGAAGGAGTTGAGCCCACATCTCTGTGGGATTGACTCCTCAGGACCAGGAACTGGAGGTCTGCTCACCTACTGTCGCATATATATTAACACCCCAGGTGGGGTGGGAAGCTAGGGCTGATGCTCCAGCCAATTACATTTTGGGGCCTCAGGCGGAGGTGGCAGATCAGGGTAGGGCTCCTGTTCACGTCCTGAAATTTACTTTTCTCTGAGACATTGGTACTGGCTCAGCCAGTCCAGAAAACCTGTTTTGAGGAAAAGCCAGGGCTGAGTGTTCACAGTGGTAAAGCTCTCAGAACACATCTTGGACTCTTCTCTTTTTTCTAGTTTCATTACAAATTCCCATCCCCATTTGGGAACACAGGTATGGGAGTAGTATCAACAGAAAAGCAGTAAAACTTTATCTAATTGGAATTTTTTTAATTAATTACTCAGTATTGCTGTATGGAAATAGGAACACATGCACTCCTAGAGGAAACAAATTGGACAACCTCCCTTTCACAGAGCAATTTCACAATACACATCAAGAGCCTCTCAGATTTGCATATTCTTTGACCCAGTGACTCCTATTCTGGGAATGTATCTTAGGAGGGGAAGAAAAGCATGCATATATGTGAAAAATGTATTCACACTGAGTTTCTTCTCAGTGTTCTTTATAATGGCAAGACTTGAAAGTCACCGAAAGTATAAATTAGTGAGGATACTTTCTGGGAGCAAGGACCAACCCAAATCAAGCCAACTTAACCAGAAAAGAGTTTTTGATAACTGGGGTGGATCAGACACGAAGATGGAACCAAAGGAGCCAGAGAAATTCTGAAGGCTTTATGACCTGGAATCAGAGACTTGATACTGCCTGGATTCCTTTTTTTTTTTTTTTCTTTGGCTTATTTATTTGCGAGGGAAGGTAATTAGGTTTATTTACTTATTTAGTGGAGGTACTGGGGATTGAACCCAGTACCTCCTGCATGCTAAGCACACACTCTACCACCGAGTTATACTCTCCCACTCCTGGACTCATTTTCCCCTCAATCTCTGTCTCATTTTCTTGTCTCCTGCTGCACACAGGATTTCCTGTAAGTAGCAGGAAAGATGGCAACTGTGAGTGCTCAATCCATATTCCTCCAGCTCTAGGATCCCAGTAGATAACACATTTTCATCTAAGTGACAGAAATTTCTTAAGAAAGATTTTATTCCTCCTTCTCTCACGTGCTCACCTCTGAATCAATCATTGTAGCCAGGATACTATGATAAGGAGTTCCTGGGCCATTATTAACACCTGGAGACCAGGGTGATAGGATACCATGATTGACAGCCTCATAGGGCCACATGGAATTGGGGAGGGGAAGTTCTCTAAAGGAAGAAGTGGGTTGGGGTAAAGATGCTGGGAAAATAAAACATTAAGTCTACTACAATGCCCAATAATATGAGTTTGGTTGAATAAGTTACCATATTAATATAAAGTAACACTATTCAGCCATTAAAAGCAATGTTTTTATGACAAGAAGAATTGTTTGCTACACTAGTTGAAGGGGGAAGGGGAGGAAATATGATACAAAACAATTTGTAGGAAGTTCTACTTCCACTTAGGATGTAAAAAACTGGAGAGAGCATTGCTCTCTCCCTGCTAAAGAGGGACAGCCAGACAAAAGGCAAAATCACAGCTTTTCTTGAACCAAAAAGTTAAATCTGAGAGCTGAATTGAGGTTGCAGGTCAACTAAGTAGCCTGAAATCTAAGGAGGCAGAGCTCCTCTAGAGGAGAGACTGGATATATGAACTGTCTCATCTGTGTCAGAGCACGGGAAGTATTGGGGCCATCAGAGAAGCAAGAACACAGCCAGAACTATGACAGGCCTACATGGGCTGGAGTAACTACTGAAAAATCTCTGTGTGCTCCAAAAGCCAGGGAAGCCTAAACTTATTCACAGGCTCTTTTCCAAGACCTTGACCAGATGCTCACACGAAACACTGGTCGAGGGTGAGAGACTAAATTAAGCCTCCCTTAGGAGTACAGGCATAGAGGGCAGTATTATCTGTCATTTCAGGAAAGGGCCCAGCTGCCCATACTCTTCTCTCAAAAGGCTTAAGCCTCTGGGGAGGAGCAGCAAATACTGTTGCCCCCATTGTTGCATAGGTGAAAACCCACTGTTGCCCAAGTAAGGATAGAGGGGGAAAACTCTACCCTGGGGGAGGGAACAGAAAGAGTCCTCAGCCAAGGGTTCTATGCCAGTGCTTTTAGAGGTCTCCTAAAACTGAAGGAGAGTCAGGAAAAGCTTTCCCACACAAGACATGCCACAGATACAAAGCAGAGTTTGGCAGGGAGTAGAGACAGGAATCCTGAGAAAAATCATATTCGCCAATGCCCAGGTATATAAAAACTACCTAAGACTGAAGACAAAGAGGACCACAGAGAACCACCCTACCCCCTCACCACTACCCTAGCAAACACCAAGTAACTAGTAGTAACAGTCTGCCACTGGCCGAGAGGCAAGAACATGGAAAGAGACGACCTCCATATATACTTACTAGGTGTATAAAGAAGGTTGAGAGTTGAGGGTGGAGAACAGACATTGAGAAATCCTTCCAGTGTTCCAGATCTCACCCTAAGCATAAGGCATCAGAAGAGGAATTTGAAGCTATGGTTCACTGAAAGTAACCTTGGCAATAGCAAAACCTAGCCCCACCTCACCTTTTAACTAGATTGACTCTAACCTCCATGCTAAACTGCCTGAGAATAGGTGTGTCCATTTCCAGACACAAATACTATTTACCTAAATTGCTCCTATTCTACACAAGATGTCTGGCATTCCATCAAAAGTTATATGATCTAACAAAAGAAGAACAAAGAAGACAACGTCCTGTCAAAATACAAAGCAACTAAGAGAAAGAGCTTCAGAGACGATCTACATGTCAGTACCATCAAAGAGGGACTTTGCCAGACAGGGAAAGATAAGTATTGTATGATATTGCTTGTATGTGGGATCTGAAAAATACAACAAACTAGTGAATATAACATAAAAGAAGCAAACTCACAGATATAGAGAAAAACTAGTGGCTACCAGTAGGAGGGGGAGGGGCAACTTGGGATGGGGGGGTGGAAGGAACAAACTTTGGGTATAAGATAGGCTCAAGGATGTATTGCACAACATGGGGAATATAGCAAATATTCTGTAATAAATATAAATGGAAGTTAACCTATAAAATTTAAATTTTTAATAAAAAAGAGACTTTAAAATAACTAGGAATAATACATTAAAAGATCTAATGAAAAAGGTGGACAACATCCATGTACAGATAGGGAATTTTAGAAGAAAGACACAAGTGATAAAGTTGGACAGAAGTGCTGACAACAAAATCTGTGATATCAGAAATGAGAAGTTTCTTCTAAAGTCTCATTAGTAAACCTCATACAGCTGAGGGAATAATAAACCAAAATCTACCTTGAAGATAAGTCAATATGCATTACCCAAACTGAAACACTAAGCGGGAAAAGAGGAGAAATAAATTGAACAGAATAGTCAAGAGCTGTGGGACAATATCAAATAGTTTAATGTACATGCTATTGGAATCCTAGAAGAGAGAAAAAAGCAGAAGAAATGTTTGAAGAGATAACAGATGAGAATTTTCCAAAATATAATGAAAAACATCAAACAACAGATCCAGGAATTGTAGAAAATAAATGGATAATGCCATGATAAATCCCAAAAGAGAACACACCTAACCCATCATGTTCAAAATGCTCTAAACCAGAGAGAAATAGAAAGCAAGAGAAAAAAGACACATTACATATGGAAGAACAAGGATAAGAATTACAGCGAACTTCTCATGAAAAACAATGTTATCCAGAAGACAATGGGTTGCCATCTTTAAAATACTGAAAGAAGAAAAAAGGAAATCCAGTGTTCTGTACTCAGCAGTAATGAGGGGGAAAAACTTTTTCAGAGAAACAAAAGCTGAGAGAACTTACTGCCAGCTGATCTGTGTTACAAGCAATATTAAAGGGTGTTCTTAAGGTAGGAGATATAAGACAGGGGTTGACAAACTGCATCCTGCAGGCCAAACCCAGCCTGCCACAGGTTTGGTAAATAAAGTTTTATTGGAGCCCAGTAATATTCATTTGGTCACAGATTATCAATGGCTGCTGTGCAATAGCAGATTTGAGGGATTATTAGAGACTTCCTGGCATGCAAAGCCAACATCAGTTACTACCTGGTAGTTTACAGAAAAAGTGTGCTCACCTCTAGAATAAGATGCCATACAGAAACTGCAAATAAATGAAGGTCTCCAGACATGGTATCAAACAAAATAAATATAAGAGACACTTAAGCAAAATTTTAATCACTCTAAAAGGCAAATGACTGCCTAAACCAAAAACTTCAATGTGAGCTGTAATATAGGGGTAAGGCATTTTTTACATGTCAAAACAAAGGCACTGAAAAATGAAGAAAGATATTTTGTAGAACCTGCTTAGCATAATTCCTTTGGCATCCTCTCCTTCTCTCCTCCTATTTTGAATTTTCTGATTGTAAATTTTTCTCCTTATCTATCGTCCCTTTGTAACTTGTTCAGGGCCCACCACTATTCATGTCTATTTCTCTCAGCTTTCCTAAAATTCCAGTACAGACACCTTTATTCTCCTTACCCAAGAATCTTCTTTTACCCTGGCCTTTTGATCTTAGTAGATAAGATCTGTTAATGCTGGGATCTTGTTGAACATTTTCCCATCCAGTGAATCTAAAGAGAAGAATGGAGACAGGTCTGCTTCCAGCTACGGGAGCTATCTGTGCCTCAGCAACCAGAAGACACCAAACTTGCAGAAGAAAGAAAATTGTGCAAAGAATCTGTACAGAGGATGTCATTGTTACCCATGACAAGTTATTAACCTCTCTGTGCTTCGGTTTCGTCTTCTATAAAATGGGAATAATAGAACATATTTTACAGAGTTGGTATAAAAATCAAATGATTTGACACATGGACAGTACCTAGCACAGTGCCTGGCACATAGTAAGCTTCCTGCAAATTTGGGGGGAAAGGAAGGGAGTTACCACCTGAAGCTGGGGCCACTCCTTACCTGCCTCTGTCTCCTCCACCCTCCTCTACTAATT